GAAACATGGAGTCAGGGAAAACACTGGGTCTAACCTGATGTTTGGAGAACTGAGTAGTACTGTTTCTCTTTGGGGGACGACTTTCTCAAAAGACAGAGGGAGTATCCTGAGCCGGAGCAGGACGGCTGGAAGCCTGTATGGAGGTGAACTTCCAGCAAGCCCTGGGAGCAAGAGGCAGCTGGTGAGAGAAATGGTTCTGGGAGGGAGGAAATCTCCAGCTAGGATTGCTGGATAGAATCTTTGTTGTTCAAGAGATACAGGGTTTTAATTTTTTAATTTCATATTTATTTTGTGTATGTATGCATGCTACGACACACATGGAGATCAGAGGACAACTATGGGAGTTGGTTCTCCTCATCTACCATGGGGATTGACAGCAAGTGCCTTTGCTCCCTGAAGCCGTCTTACCAGCCCAGGATCTAATTTTTATGCCTTTTGCTACCCGGATGCTCAGCTTCCTGAGTCTGGACTTAAGGAACTCATGTGATGTCATCAGACTTCCTGAGCCTGGTGGACACTCCCCACCCTATGAGAAGAGGTGTGGAAGCTGAGATGTGAAAGTTGTTTTGATGGTGAAAGCGTCAGCAATGTGGCTACAATCCTGGTTCCCTGTCTGCTTTGAGAGCTGGGAGGAGAGGTGCTAGACTACACTGTAACAGGTCCCTTGGAGTGCTTTGACAGGCACCACATGCATACACACACACATTGCTAAGATCATGGCCACTGAAGATGGACTGAAGGCTACAATGTCCTGTTTTATACTCAGGCCAGAACTGGTCATTGAAGGGACATGTCTGAGAAATGGGAGGATCCCCAAAACAATAGGAAGCAAGCAGCAGAAACAACATTGCAATCTGTTTATTATGGTTTCCGCAGTGCCCAGCCTCTGGGGGCTCCTGCTTGGAGTACTGTGGAGGCTGAGTCACAGGGCAGATCATGCAGCTGTAGACAGGAAGACAGGGCTTGGGGTTGGTCCCCTCTGATCACTGTCAAGTTACCTTCAGCAGAAAAGGTAGGGACAAGGAGCCAGAGGGCCATGGATCCTCAGTTACTGAAGGGCTCTCAGAGCCTTCCTCCCAGTGTGTTTGGTTGGAAATAAACCATGGATATCCCTTAATGTTTGGAGGCTAAACTTGAAGGCCTTTGCTGATTATGGATATAGGAAGGACAACCCTTTCTATTCCAACTAGAATGGAATGGGCTTCTTAATTATTTGTCTAGATAAGATGTAACCCGTGTCTCCAGGCTCTGGGCCCCTGGGGCATGCATTCCAGAGGGAAGTAACTTTTCTTTATTGTTGGTCTAGTGGGAATTCTGTAGCCTATCCTTTTCTTTACAAGGTTGCCAAACATAGTGGCAATAGGCAAGCAACAGCAGGAGGAGTGCTTGGCTCCACCATATTCCAGGGCTGAGCTGTGGGACCAGGCCATACACTGATCACGCCCACTCAAGAGCTCCTCTGTCTGGTCTGCAGCCAGAACGAGAGAGATATAGTGAGCTAACGAAACCCAGATGGCAAGGAGAACGTAGTGATTTGGCTCCACTGTAAATGGCAAGTTAGAAAGGGGCCATGGTTGCAGGTGCTGCCAGGATGTTCTGGAATTTTGGCATCAAGGTTGTTTGGCCTTTTAGTGCCAAGTACAGAATAGTCACATGCCACACAGTGACATTTCAACCAACGGCAGAGGGCATGTGCAATGGTGGTCCCATAAGTCATACTGCCTACTAATGTGGTGGCTGTTTGGTTTGTGTAAGAGCACTCTCTGATGCTTGCACTATGAAGATGCTGCCTAGTGATACAGTTCTCAGAATGGATTTCCAGAATGGAAATGGGTCTCTTAATCATCGGTTCAGACAAGACCTGCCCCTATTTCCATGCTCGGGGCCAGGAATGACTCTATACTCGTGTCTCCCTGTATACATATGCAGTGCACAACTGTGTATGTGCCTTCACTCTGTTGGCTGGAAGGAGACATGGGATAGCAGAGTCCGCTGCCAGTTCAAGTTTCATGCCTCAAGGCTGCTTACTTTTGGCTCTTCTGTAGTTGTGGCTGGATGGGCCCCTACCAGACAGCTTCTGCTGAGCCATTCTCCTCGCCTGGCTTCGTGATGCACTCTGGGAAGCTGTGATGCCTGCAATGACTATTGTGCTTTGGGCTAAGGCATGGGACAACCCTGGCACTCACTTCCCAGTGGAGTGCCCTCTTCCCAGGCAGCTGAATTCTGTGCTTTCTGTTTTGGTGATAGGAATGGGGGAACTCCAAGACTCGGCCACTTAAACAAGGTCCAGGTGACCTCCTGTAGGAAGCACTAGGGCCAGAAAGGCAAGTGTTTACCCTGTCAGCCCATTGCTTGGGCTAGGGGTAGAAAGAGGCAATGTATTCATGGCTTCTGCTGCAGCTTTTCTCAAAGGAAGAGCACTTGAGTTGAATCAGTACCTAGGAATGAGGAAACTGCTTCATCCCTGGGATACCATAGGGGCCATTGCTCAAACGTTTTGCTGGGGAAGGGTGGCCTCAGGGAAGAAGGCCAAGGGACAGACCTGGAGAGATGATGTAGCACTAAGCCACCCTCAGCAAGTCTGTCCCCACAGCTTTGCCGTGCCATCCTAATGTTTCCTTATTTAAATTGAATATAGGGAAGAGAACTTCTTGATGAAAACCAGGCTTGGGGAAGGTGGTCTTCAGAGAAGCATACATGTAACCCAAGCCTTCCTCGGTTGGAGTTCAGGATGGACGGTGTTGGGAAAAGCAATGATCTTAACTCTCGGCAGCCAAGATGGGAAAGACTGAAACATTTCTCATACCCTCATCAGAGCCAGACATTAATCTTTGCACTTGGCAGAATTTCAGACAGTCACAGTGACAGAAAGGCCTGGAAAGGGAATGAGTCTTACTAGGTTGATGAAAGTGTACCTCTATAAACACTGCAGGGGGATTCGGGGAGGCCACATTAAAGAGATTATAAACATTGGGTTGGGGCGGACTTCTGTAACAACAGACTAGGGAGCAATGGGCCCTCCCTTTGGAACACTAGGTGCTTGTGGAGAAGAGGTCAGCTGTCCTGTGCCGTCCTGGATAGAGAGGTGATCCCAAATAGGACTGGTCCTGCTGAGGATGAGCTGCGGGGCTGGCTCTGCAAGCCTCTGGACCCAGTCAGTCTGATTCAGCCTGTGGTCTTCTGCCATTCAACTGTACAGGAGCAAAAAACAGCTGCTCCAAAGTGGTAAGCATTGTCTTGGTCTGTAAAGGACCATAGAACAAAAGATAGACTCCCAGTATCCACAGCTGGGGAGTGGCAGAGAAACACTGTCCAATTCCCAAAGCCCAGAGATGGATTATCTCTGTTCAAAGTGCGGTTCAGCAGCCCACAGCCAGAGAGAGAGAGAGAGAGAGAGAGAGAGAGAGAGAGAGGGAGGGAGGGAGGGAGGGAGGGAGAGAGGGAGAGAGAGAGAGAGAGAGGGAGAGAGAGAGAGAGAGAGAGAGAGAGAGAGAGATGACCCATCGGAAGAGTGAGCAAGAGCCTCTGAATTTAACATGCTTTAATCTTCTCAATGGAAAACCCCAGGGTTGGCTGCTACAGGTGCAGTCCTTGAGCCCAGCAGGTTTGTGCTTTGTTTTTGACTCGATCAATAGCGGGCCATCTTACTGATCAGTCCTGGGAACATGGCCGAGTTGTTTTCATTGTTGTTTTGAGACCAAGTCTCACTTGTATAATCCTGGCTGGCCTAGAACTTGTATTTAGACTAGTCTGGCCTTCAACTCATAGAGATCCACCTGCTTCTGTCCCTCAAGTGCTGGGATTAAGGGTATCTACCACCATGCCCAGCTTTAAGTAATAATTTTTAAAAGCTGTGTGTTTCAAAATGAACCCACACATATCTCCTGTCTGCTTCATTTTGGTCCTAAATAATCCATCTCCAGCAGTACACCTCCCTGCTTCTAGGTCAGACAGGTCCTACAGAAAGAGAGCATGCAGGGCTCTCAGCAAGGCTTGGCTGGTGATGCCCATGGCATCTGAGCCTTTCAACACTGAGCAGCGCGCTCCTTTTTCTAAAACCATCCACTTTAGTACAAGTGCTTCCAGCAGTGAAGACAATGCAGGCTTCTGCAGGGCTTGGCTCGATTCTCTCTTGAAGAACTAGCTGTCAGAACTGGCCATACCTAAGTCGTCTGGTTGAAAATAGAAATCAGAACCTGGATCCCCAGGTCTTAGGGCTGACCCACACCCATGTACTGACTTGAGAGCTTCAGAACTAGGTCAAGCTTGCTACACCCATAGTGTTCTCCACTTGTCCACAAGGTCCTCTCAGGCTAGCTCCATCTCCTAGCACAGAGGGGAAGACCTGGAGTGAGCAGCAGGGAGAAACAGCAACTGGGGCAAGGGAGAAGAACACACTGTCCCCCTTCTGACGATGACTAGAACTTCTTGACAGTTGAGATACAAATCTTCTCAGGCCTTTGTTGTCTCTTCTTAAAAAGCACAGCTGCTTAGGTATTCTGCAGAGCTCCTCTAGGCTATGTAAGAGGCTGGCTTCCCGCCATACCATGCCACATTTCTCTGTCTGTGGTTGAGTTGGACTGGAAAGCAGGAAAAGCCTGGGTTCTCTTTTTTGCATCCTCATCAGCCTCTGAGGCCTCCACTCAGGTTAAAACATCGCACACACAGAGATTCCTGCCAGTGTATCTGTTCCTCTTGGGTCCCTAGAGCTTTGGACCATTTGAAGAATAGGGACCAGGAGTCTCATCTTGGTTTTCCTGTTCTGCTAAGGACTTGTGAAGTTGGGTAACCTGCTTGAAAAGTTCCTAGAATTCTGGGTCTCTGGAGAGACTGTCTCCACTTTCTCCAGGTAGAAATCCACAAGCTAGTTTCCTTCTCTATCACAAGGAATCAGAATTTAAACACAAACTTCAGGATGGCTTTGAACTGTTCTCCCAGCATGGCACACCTGAGGGACATACAGACACTTACGAATAACAGTGGTCATCACTGAAGGGGGGTTCCATGTGGGCAGGGGGCCGCTCAGCATCTCCTGGAGGGAAAGTGAATTTAATCTCTTTTTCTTTCTCCTGGGAATCAGAACTGGCCAATAAAAAGAGTGAGAAGAGACCCTCTTATCTAAAGCAGGGGGGTTCAACAAAGGGATTTTGGTCCTTTTTCACTGAAGAAAGAACCAGGAGTTTGAAGGCATGGATATCTAGGCATGTGTGTGGCTGTATGTGCATGTGCACATTTGTATGCATGAGGTGGCAGGTAGTTCTATGATGTGAGGGCAGGAGGTGGTCCATAGCAGCTAATGCCACAGCTCTCAGGGCTTCTCAGTGTGGCAATACACATACTGCCGTCTCTGTTGTGAGGGGAACGGTGGCTTCAGTGCCATAAAGCTTAATGACAACTTAAGATGTTGGCAGTGTCCCATTCCCATGAGTCTCAGTGCCAGAGGTTGGTAAAGGAAAAAGAAAGGAAAGAGAGGTTGCCACCGTCCTGGAACTGAGTTTCTCTCTCCCACCTATCCTGGGGGCTTCAGGTGGATCGCTCCACTGTTAGGACGAGCAGCCAAGATGTAGACGACATTCTCTCTTAGGAAGGTGGGCCAATCCACATATCTGCAGAGGGAGAGAACAGGTTTGCAAGGCTAGGTACAGATCCTGAAGGCCCAGAAGGCCCAATCCCAGTGGCAGTTTGCCTTGGACTGGACAAAACTCAGGGGAGCTTGCCCCTTGACTACTATGGTTAGGGCTGGCTCTGCTACAAAGTTAGCAGATCAACTAACTAGAGACCTGGGGTCAAATGTGTTCTTTTGGAGCCTGGTTTCTAGGATGAACATTTGCTACTCTGGGGTAGAAGTGGTAATGCCTTCCTTTATTTACATGGGCGTTATGCCAGTGGGGCTATAGACAGCAAAGAAGAGGTTCAACTCACCTGGACTCCTGCTCTGTGGGCAGCAGGGCCTTCTCCGGACTCTTGCTACTGCTGGCAGCTGGGCTGCTGCTGTCTGCTATAGGACCCACATGGCTGATGCTGCCAGGCACAAGAGCGTGAGATTAGCAGTGGGACAGCAGCAGGCCCTGACTCCTCCCAAACTCTGGTGAACCCATGGACCTAGCCATGCTTGTCCAGTCTTTCTGAGATGGGGCAGCAGAGAATTTAGGACAGAGGCAGTCCCACATACTGTCAGTAGGATGCTGCCCTCTACCTAGTTCACAGGCAGATCTTCTGCCAATAGGATGGAAAAGACACACATGTTACACCATGTACCTCCAGGTAGAAGGAGGAAGAGGGAGGGCTGAGGAAGAGGGAGGGCTAAGAAAGAGGGGCTAAGAAAGAGGGGCTAGGCAGGGCAGGGCTGGTGAGGAGCAGACCTGACACTGCAAGAAGGAGCCTCTACAAGGCGTTTGCAGAACCAAGAGTGCCGGGCATGGTGGCACTCTGCCTCGCTGATGGTGCTCCCTCTGCCTCGTGCCAGGAAGGTGGCTCTGGCTCGTTCCCTCTCCTTGACAGTAAGAAGCCTCAACAGAGAGTTCTGGAGAAGAAGAGATAAGTTAAGGTGTTAAGGTAAAAATACCTTGAAAACTACTGAGAATTGCACTTCCATTACAAACCTTTGCTGCCCTCCTTAGAAGTTCCCAGGGCCTTTTTGATAGCCTGACATTTTTAGAGGGGTCCGGAACAAGCCAGTCTTCTTAAGCAGTTTCCTCAGCCCTGGTCACTGGTCATCTGTCACTAGATGGACCTGGAACCCTTTCCTGATACATGCTCTTGCTTAGACAGTTCCCTGACATGCCAAGCATGCATCTTAGGCCTCTGTCACCCATGGACATTCACTACTGCCACCCTCACCTGGGGACGCAGCTGCTGCAGCAGCAGGAGGGACTCGTGGGACAAGAAGTCGGACCACTCTACGTGACCCCGATGCTCAGGGTCCAAGGCTGCAAACTGGCGGGCTGCCTGCTCCTCTTGCTCATCAGTCAGGGCCCTGTTGCTGTCTCCTCGCTTTGCTGCTTGGTGGCGGTAGCGCACGAAGTCCTCCAGTGTCAGGGAGCAATCTGTGGGAGGCACCCTTGCTGTCCACGGCCACCTTCCTCAGCCTTGGACACCTTCACTCCCTCCAAGGTACCCTCAGAGCCCCCGCAGCCCCAGTTCTTGTCAAGTTATGCTCCCACAGCCAGAGGAGCTCGGGGGTGCTGTGGTGGGAGTGGGTGCCTCTGCCGGCCCATAGCTCTGGAGCAAGGACTTGTTCACCCTTACTTCCCAAATCCCACCGTCCACCCCAGGAGCGATCAAAAGGAATGTGCCTGGTTAGCTCAGCAGTGCCAGCTGGCTTACCAGGGATGACTTTACAGCGCTGAAAGGTCTCTGTAAGGCTGTACATCTCCTCCTCAGTAAGCAGCAAGTTAAGGTTGTCCTGGAAGAAAGTAAAAGCAGAGTTAGTGGCCACACAGGCCAGTAACAAATGAAAAACTCACATGGATGGAAACAGCATCTCCACCAGAGAGGAGGTAAAACCCCCGATCCGAACCATCCAGCCTCTGTCAAGGAGACTGCGATGCCAGAAAGAGAGAAGATCTGCTGGGAGCTGTGTGACTCTGGGACAAATCCCCGCTAGATTCCAGATAGCCTGGCTTGGGCCCAGTCTCTTTATTCAACACCTGCTTCCAAGTTAGCCTGTGAGCTGACCTGGGAATGCCACAGAAGCATCTCCCAAAGCTGCTGTGGGTGTAAGGAGAGCTGGGTCTGGTGCAGGTCCCAGCTCCATCTGTCAGACGCTCAGTGTGTATTTATTTTATGTACACTGGCTTTGTGGCCAGGCTTAAAGCACATTATAGTTATAAAAAACAAATAGCCCTGCTTCTAGTGGGTTGTGCAACTTTAAATGGCTCGAGGATGGTTTTGAAATGTCCCTAAACAAAACGAATTTCTATGGCGTCATAGAAGTTTAGTTACGAAAAAAGCACTGAGGTCTTTCTTTGTTAGCATTACTATGGAAGGTTCTTCATAACGATTAGTTAACTGTTCTCCTAAAATAGCAGCCAAGAGCAGACTTAGACATCTCATGAGTTTCATAAGCAACCTGATGATTCTGTCAGTGAACACCCATTGAGCACCTGGCGAGTACTGGGCACATAGCGTGTGCACAGCACTGGGATATGTGGTACTCCGAGTGGCTGCTATGTGTGTGTGTGAAGGGAGTCAGGAGAACTAGAAATGAATTGTGAAGCTCCTCGGATGCTCTTGATGGAGCCCCGTGACTCAGGCCTTTATTCTAAGGACACGTTATTCCTTTGTTATGAGGAGACACAGAGGGCCAGCTGCCATGGTCAGACATCTGACTTCTGTGGAAAATGGATTAGAAGACAAAATCTGGCAGTGTGGAGAGCAGCCAGGTAGCTGATACAGTGGCACAGGTAAGAAAAGAATGAGTGGCTGAATCCAGGGAACAGGGAAGGGGAAGAAGCGAGAGATGTCAGAGGTCATCTGAACCTGCTGATTTGCAGATGGTGAGGGGTGAGGGTACCGGAAGAGCAGGGACTGGGAAACTGGTGAATGATATTACTGTTCGCAGAAACAAGGAATGGAGAAAGAGCAGGTTTAGGCAGAAGAATCAATTAATTTGGGGGGACATTCTGAGCATGAAGTACTGGTGAGACATCAAGATAAATAAGCCTCTGAGACAGGAAATTTAAGTCTGGGCACAGATATGGGCATCGTTAATATTTAGATAGTGGGTTATAGGACAAAGTCATGCAGAGGCAGTGAATACAATGAGAAAGACAATGAAATCTTGAGGAATACTGCATTTAGAACTGAAACAAACTACAGGTGCAGAGAAAGAATGGTCAGAGAAGGCTGGAAGAGGCTGGGAGTACTGGGTACCAAGCCAAGACAATGGCATGATGTAGCAGTGTTGCTAGCAGCGGTCAGACATGTATAGGGGGTTTTATTATTTGGAAACATTTTCTCTAGTTTGGATATATTGTATAAATTCTAGAAAATACATAACTGCCAGGAGAAAGAGGAGGAAATAAGGAAATGTTAAATATTTTATTCAAAAGAGCTGACCAAGAAGATGCCTGAGAAGTAGTCAGAAGACCTTTGATGACCTCAATACAAGCCAACTCAACAAAGTACTGAAAGTGGAGGTCACATTGGAGGTGAGGTCAGGAGACAGTGGAATGCTCTTGAGATATATGACTGTGAATGGAGGAGAAAGAAAGGGGTGAACTTGGAGGAAAGGTGTGCAAAAGGCCCGTGGAGATGGTGGAGGCAGCTGGACCCGAGCAGAGCTGAGAAGGAAGCAGAGTGTTCCCGGGAGACAGCAAAGGGACAGGATTGACCCAGGCTCATGCTGGCAGCACACTGGCAAGCAGGGTTGCTGTAAGTCAGGTGGTAGCGTGTGTGTGTGTGTGTGTGTGTGTACAGTTTGGGCAGAGGAGGAGGGGAAGACTGTAGAGCAGAGTCTGGTGTGGTATATTCTACAGGGACGGCATTTCAGTAGCTGAAGTAATTTGTAGGCTTCATTTTGTGGATTAGCCATAGATGGAGAGTCAGAAAGTAGCACATATCTACTTTTTGCAGACAGCAGAAGAAGACAGTTGCCAGCTGGTCCTTACACAGAACCAGAGAGCAGGGAAGATATTCGTACAGCAGGCAGGAAAGACTGGGATTCCACTCAGGCTGATGATAAATGGCTGTGTGTCTGGCTTTCAGCAGAAGCCTTAGATCCTTTCTGCCATTAGCAGTTGGAAGGCATATATATATATATTTATTCAGAACTTTTGCAGAGTTCTGAATCAATGCAGTGTTGCTCTTCAATTCACATAATGATCACTTCAGAGATGAAGAACAAAGGCTTCTAACAGGCCGCAGGCAGGTCACATGAGGACCACAGGACTAAGTGTTTTCCTGTGACAGAATCTCCCTCTGCTGGAGGCAAGCTTTTCAGGGTGCCAGGTTGGTTTCTCAGATGAGTACAAGGAATGACAGCCATAGACTTTTAGAGAAAGCAGTGCCCTATGCAGAATTACGCCTGATTGGTTAGGCCTATTCTTTTTATGATTCTTAACTGAGCGTGGTTTGCTCCCTTTGGAGCACACTTGGCAAGGTCTGGTGTGTTACATTTAGGCTTGTGAGCTACTGGGCATGTTTTTTTAAGTGCCATATAGTGCACCTCACAACAAAGACCTGATTTTCTAGCTCCAGGACCCTTGTATGTACTATTAGAAAACCCCCTTAGGTCGCTGCTTAGAAACAGTCATTTTTAAGACTAGGCCTCTGGGAAGAATGCCAAGTTTTCCCACTGCCCTGCAGCCCAGACTCACACAGTAGTAGCAGCTCCAGCCTGTCTCTGTATGGGCCATCTCGGTCACCTCCACTGCACTGTCCCCTTGGAGGTAGCCCATGCGGCGCAGGCAACCATCGTGGAAAACCCTGGTGCAGACTCTACATGGGAAGAGGCTCTCAGCGGTCCAGACTTCACAGATATCACACATCTCATCGTTGACAACCTTGCAGGAATGAGAAGGGTTTGAAAGTACAGATAGCAAGATTCCACATGGGATGGGTCTCTCTAGGGCCACAGTGAGCTGTAAGCATTCTTTCTGGTGGACAAGCACCAGGTAGCTGCTTAGGGCTGTTACTGTTTCTCAACAGGGATTCTATTAGCGTTTTATAAAGAATAATCTGTGTGAGTGATTGTCCCAAGCATTATATGACATTTAACACCCCTACCTCTCTTGATACCACATACCTGTAGAAACTCCCAGCCACTGTATCTTACCCCAGTTTCCCCTTCTCCATTTCCTAAATGTCCCCTCCAAGGAAGGCTTAGTACCCTCTGTGCTGAGTCTCACTTCGACCACACCTAGCTTTCCTTGTCCTGGTTTTTCATCCTTATAAAGGCTAAGACAGGGAAATCTTGCCTTAATAGAACACTCACAGGCTCCCGGGGTTCCAAGCCGATATCTGGAGGTTTGTCATCATCCAGCTTCCGGGTGGGGCGGATGAAGGCAGGGGGTGTGAATCGACTGGTCCTGTCAAACTCCTCAGGCTCAACTCCACGCCCATCTCGGAGCCGCTCCCAGGCTGCACGGTTGATACTGCTCTCTTCCTGGACCACGGGGGCACTTGCCTCTGCTTCCTTCTCCTCCTGTACTTCCTGAACAGAGCCCTCCACAGTGCCGCGGCGGGACCCTGGCGGCTCACCCCCACGTCTGATGGAAGGTCTGTCCCGTAGCCCATCCTTGAAGGCTGACACAGCCAGGCTCACCTTCTGCACCTGCTCCACTGTCTGCCGCTTCGACATCAACACCCCCATGGCTCTGTGGACAAAATCATGGAAAAGGCAGGTACTATTATATAGTGTCATCATGGCTCCTAGTAGCAAGGCATACTGGGAAGAGCACACGCTAAGACGTCAGAAGACTCTGGTTCTGCTTCTGACTGGCTAGCTAGTTTTGGTTTTCCCTCTTATAGGATGAGGGTTATCTGTTCAGCACACTGCATAGGCCTGTCATGAGGATAACATAAGGAAACAAACTTGGACGGTTGATACGGCACTACAGTAGAAAGCGTGTGCTGAATGCACAAAGCCCTGGGTTTGACCTCAGCAAAACATTTGTGTGTGCATGCACACATAGAAAGACGCACATGCACACACACAGACACACATGCACATATACAGGCACACACAGACGAAAGTACAAAGGCACAGACACATGTGCACACACACAGGCACACACACAGACACATGCACACACAGACATACAGGCTGATACAGACATACATGCACACACACAGAGACACACAGAGCACACACACACTATATACAAGAAAGAAAAGGTTAAATAGTGTTTAATTAAGTAGATAGTACTATACATATGTGTGGTGGTATCTGCCTTCCTTGTTATTTGAGAGCTGATTTAGCCCAGGGCATCAGTTCTCTGCTACGTTGAGGTGGTTGGGACTCCAGATGCTAAGTTTTAACTCTCCCCTAAATGGAGGCTCAACACATTGCAGGTTTTCTGATTGAAAGAAAACACCTCCAGGAAGTACTGTGCACAGTCCACCCAGGGTCTGTCCTCATTGAGGTGCTGGCTAATTTTCCAGCCAGAGTGAATGGATTTCTATTTTTGGAAGACTTCTGAATCAGGCACTCATGAAGCTGTCACCTCCGTGTATGTGGCCAAGGTCACAAACACCCCTCTGTGAGTCTCTCACAGACGGTAAGCCTGTCTATCCACGTTCTCTGGTAGGTGCTTTGCTCCCCTAAGAGGTTATTCATGTTACGCTCACATCTCCATCTCTGCCTTTACACTGTCCAAGGTCTGTAACTTTTCACAAGTTAAAAGGAGTCCTCCTCTGCAGGACCAGCGTGGGAAAGCGAGGACGTGACACTGCACAGTGCAGAGCCGGTCTTTTCCTTTCTACTCTGAGAGCTCAGTGGGAGTCGGCTGCGGAATGCGTGCTCACAGTAAGCAGAGCACAGTCCGTTTTAACCTTGCCCTTGGCACACTCCAATCAAGGATTATAGAACAGTACGCGTTCATGTCACTCGTCGTAGGAAATGGAGATGGGACAGCATCACACCACTCAAGCCTTTAAACATCAGACTCCAAAGAAGCAAGCAGAACTCCAGGCCACCTATCCATGCACTGGGATAGCCTTCTCTCACAGAAATGAAGTATTGGCATACACTGAACACGGATGAGCTTCAAAGGAGATATTCATGTGAGAACACAGGTTCTGTGACTCCATTTGTGTGAAATGTCCAGTAAATCTAGGGAAATAAAATAGATTAGTGCTTCCCTAAGTCTGCAGAAAGGTTGTGGGTGGGTGTGGCTGCTGCTCGGTCTGGCCTTATTTGGGGGTCAGCAAAGGTGTTCATTCTAATGTTGAAGTGTGGTGACGACTGCATCACTGTACATATGTTAGAAATAATCTAGTACTGCACTTTAAATGGGTACATTCCATGGTACAGACTATAGAGCAATCAGGCTACTTTTAAGGATTTAAAAAAAAATTGTGAGACTACACTACCGGGTCACAGTGGACCTCAGGGAATGCATGAGAAGCCGTCTTCAGTTTATTTTGGGGAAAAGGTGGCAGTGGGTAAGAGGCAAGATAGAGACAATTAGAAGACACACTAGCCCAGGTAAGATGGTGAGGCTTTCAACTGAAGTAAGAGCAGGCATGGCACTGAGTGCATTTGTCACCATGGAATAGAGTTAGAGAATTTTACGGATAAACTGGTAACTGATTGGCTTAAGGATGGAATAGAAGAGGGCGGTATTAAATAAAGTAAAAGAATGGCCAGAGAGTTGGAAATAAGGGAGAGGGATCATTGGATTTCGTGCATGTTAAATTAAAGACATCCCTGGGACACTCTGGAACATCTACAGCAGCGTGGATGATTTCAATGGCTTTCTGCAGCCTTCAGGATAGAATAGGACCTGCGCCTTTACGTTGTCTTATGAGGTACATACACTTGGACTTCCTGCCTGTCTCCATGTTATGAGCTCTGCTAGCTCTGCTATGTCTTTATTTGACATGGTTTCTCTATTTTTGGGAAACATGAACACTCCAATTACAGCCTGCCTACTCTTTCCAGCTTGCTCGAATGCCCTTCCTTTGGGGAAATCACTGCAGACTCCAGGCTGGAGTGCTTCCGGGGCCATGCTCTCCGCTCCAGAGCACTTACTTTCCTCACCACGTGTTTAATGGGATGATTATCTGATCAATGCCAACTCCCTCTGACTACTTCACCCTAAACAATACCTACCTCCACCCTGGTGAGATATCTGGAATGTAAGAGATGTTAACAAACATTTTTCAAAGCCAGGCCTGGTGCCTGTGATTCTAATACTCAGGGGTGGGGGCAGGGGTGAGGCAAGATGACTGCTGTGAGTTTAGAGCTAGCCTGGGTACAGAATAAGACATTGTCTCAAGAAAAACAAAACTAAAGGCCGGGAGAGGTGGCTCAGTCTGTAAAGTGCTTGCTAGGCAAACATGAGAACCTGAGTTGGACTCTTAGCTCCCCAGAAAAAGCCAGGTGTGTTGGTGTGCATGTGATCACAGCATAAGGAAATGAGAGAATCTGTCTGCAGCAAATCTAGCCTAGTCCACAAGTCCCAATGAGAGACACTGTCTTAATAAACAAGGTGGATTGCTCCCAAGATGACACCCAAAATTGGCTTTGTGGCCTTCAAATACAGATGCACACACACACACACACACAGAAAATCCAAACCAAATCTTTTCAGGTAATTGTCAAGAACTTGCTTTTCAGGCTGGTGAGATGGTTCAGTGGTTAAGAGCACCGACTGCTCTTCCAGAGGTCATGAGTTCAAATCCCAGCAACCACACGGTGGCTCACAGCGTGCTATGCCTGGTGACGGCCATATATTCTTTCTAGAACTATCTGATGTTTGTGTGCATCCCAGTGATACACATCTCTACCATGCAACTTACTGTTACCAAGAAAACTCATATTCCCATTTTTAAAAGACGGGGTCTCACTTGGTTGTCCTGGAGCTCACTATTCACACACCTCAGATTCACAGAGATCCTCCTGCCTCTGCCTCCCGAGTGCTGTCATCATACCTGACAGAAACCCATATTCTTAAATTGGTCATCTGAGAAGACCTGCCTTTTCCAATTGTTAGTTTATAAAATTTAAGATACGACTCAAAAGAATAAAAAACCCTGATATAAAAAACTAATGAATTTACTGTCTATCAGTAACTGTCTTACAGGGTCACAGTGGCAAAGGTTTATTGAAAAGGTCTAGGAATTTGTGCCTTAGTGGACAAATTATTTTTAAAAATAATTTTATTCTCATGAGTGTTTTGAGAGCATGTCTGTCTGGTACCACCTGCATCCCTGGAGCCCTCAGAAGCCAGAAAAGGGCATCAGATTCCCTAAAGCTGAGGTTACAGATGGCTGTGAACCATTATGTAGGTGCTGGGAACTCAGCCCAGTTCCTCTGGAGGAGCAGCCAGTGTTCTTAATTACTGAGCCATCTCTCCAGGCCCTCAAACTAAATTCTGATTAAAAATACTTTCCTCCTTCCAGTTGAAAAAAAAAATCAGGACAGGAGAGACATTGCAGCCGTTAAAACTCACACGGCTCTTGCATGGGGCACAGGCCTCAGTCTCGGCACTGTCGTGTGGCCGTTTGTACACACCTCTGACCTCATCTCTAGGGGACTGGATACCCCCTGCCCTCACAAGCACCTGCTCTTACACGTTGATTCTCCCAAACAAATAAATACAAATTTCTGCCTGAAACTTGATGTGCCAGGGTAGGGGGAGCCACACCCTCTCAGAAGAGAAGGAAAGGGGGTGGGGAAGGGTCTCTGAAAGGGGGACTGAGAGGGGCAGCATCTGGGATATAAATAAATAAATAATCACAAAAATGAAGTTTTTGTTTTGTTTTTTTAAAGATGCTTTGTTCCTAACATTAAAAAGAAAAAAAAATGGACAGCACAGGCCAGGGAAGAGTCAAGAGTGTGACAAACACTGAGGTAAAAGTGTGTTGCTGTGGACAGAGGTCCAAAAGATGCAGCCCATTCATGAACGGGGCATGCTGCAGACCAATGACAGACCCGTGGGCTGGCTACTTGGCTCCCAGTCGGTGGGACTGTTTGGGAAGCCTTGACGGAGGAGGTGTGTCACTGGGGGGGGGGTGGGGTGGACTTTGAGGTTTCAAAAGACTGGACATTCCCAGTTAGCCCTCCCTGCCTTCCTCTTGTAGACCAAAATGTGGGCTCTCAGCTGCTTCTCTAGCCGTCTGTCGCCATGCAGTTGGTCACTCCTCCATCACAGACTTTATCCCTCTGGAATCATAAGCCCAACTAAACTCTCTCTTTCATACGTTTTATACATGGTAACTTACCACAGCAATAGAAACGAAACAAACTCAGGATCTAAGTTTTAAAGAAAGGATGTAGGTAGTTTTCACATTTTCTATTCTATATTTTCCAGTTTCCCTACCTCTCCCCTTTCCTTAGTTGGCAACTAACTTTAGTTTGAGATATTTTATTGCTTTGGACTATCTGCTAAAGCCCTGCTGGGAGCATGTATTCTTGGGCATTTTGAGCATTCATGTTCTTGCATTCATGTACAAGCTCAAATGACCTAATGAAAGTACTCAGGGTTCTCAGTGGGGTTCTCAGTGTGCCTATGACCCCAGCACGGCCCAGATGCCTCACCGACAATAGCTGTGCTCTGTTAGGCAGGAAGGACTGGAGATACGCGCACCAAGCAGGGGACGCCAAACAAACACACAACTCTTCCCTGCTACTTTTGTTTCCTTTTAAGGA